TCTTACTTGCTTTCTGGAACCGTTCTTCACTGGATTTGCACCGCATTGTCGCAGTCAACTCCTCTTAACGTCTCAAGTCCTATGACGTACATGATGAGCTATCAAACAAACTATTACAGCAGAAAAGCTGTCCTTATGGAGGCAGTTGGTCAGCTGCTAACGCGAAAAGCAACACCCCGCAGTGTTCATTTTAAAGACGAAATGCATCTATACGTACTTCTGGCTACATGATTTGCAATTTCCAGAAACCTATATAGGGATATGTTTTCAGAATGAGTCCATGTTGAAAACATTTGTTTGGTGCCATGCCTGGGTCTATCAGATCTAATATACATACAAAAGTTCACTCTGGTTCTTGAATCTGATTAAATGATAGCCATTCGATATTCTGCAATAACAGTATTTGTTCAGCCTCCTCACTCTTCTGTATTACTCCGCAGACATACAGCGACAAGAGGACACATTACAGTATGACAAATATTGCAGCTATTAGACAACACAATGTACTTTTGAGGCTTTTTTTACTTGATAATGTAGTTGTTTAGATTGCAACCATGCAGTTTATTTAGAAGGATAGCGCCCATTTCAAAATATTTATAATTTTTGAGAGACGCATCGGCGTCCATTAGTCAAAGACGGTTGACGTTGTTTATTCACCAGATAGATCACCATTAAACTGGTTAATGATATAAGTTGATGTCTCTCTTTTGTATAGATTGCAACTACGCAGTTTATTTATAAGGACAGTGCCTATTTTAATACAGTTACTTTCCTATCCCGGTTCTCAACAATGTTATTCAAAGACCTCAACCCTGAACACCCCCTCCTTATTGCAAACACAACAGAAGTCTGGTAGTGATTGCACTGCTTTTTAGAGGTTAATTATTGTGATATCCTGATTGCAACAGAGAAATACTGTAGACTGTGTCACTGTAAGAAGATATCTCTGTAGACGGAGGGTATTTCATGTCAAGTTCAGCCTTATAATCTTAAAATGTCAGCAAAATCAGCTGTTTTCTCATCACTTTATAAATTACACTAGAGAATTATTTAAACATTAGCTCTAAAGTGGTGTTAGTGAATTCTTCTGCTTGTTTGACGTCAGCTGCAGATGTGAATAAATGGCGGAAGAAAGAAGTTCCAAATACAAAAGGGTTTTAGACTCTCCGAGTTTGATTTCTTTTTTTATATACAGGATTGTGCCGTCGAACTGTTATATAAACGCAATATCACACAAGTAGCAATATGCCAAATGGCTGTATATTAGCACTGGTGGGACGCTAAGTAATGCACGCCTCCCACCAGTATTTATATATATATATATATATATATATATATATATATATATATATATATATATATATATATATATATATATATATTATTATTGACTTTTTAGACACAAATATGTACTTTTTTGAATATAAATTTTTTTAAAGGACTAATAATTTATGCAGTCATGCAAGTGTTTTAACAACTAATATGACAGTGATTTAATGCTTCACAAAAGTTGAAGACACTTTACCCATATCAAAACACTTTTTTTGATGCAAAATTAATTTAAACAGCCAATTATTCCATACGCTGATTAAGAAACTTGAATAGGCCTAGGCTACCATAATAAACAAAATAATCGTTGCATTGCTAATCATGATTTCGAGGATCGATAGATCTGTCCATCACAACACAAGCAGTGATCTTGGATCAGTTCATCCAGACATTTTAATCTGATTTGCGAGATTGTTTTAAGAACCAAATTAGCCAGAGCTAAGTTATCAAGATTAAAAGATGAAAGATCTGTCAAATCATCTAAGATCATTTAAGCGGGGTACAAAGTTATATTTTTGGCTAGGTTATTAATAATAAATTTTTGCATTTTGTCACAAACTCAGAACACTTATTTTATGGTTTGTTACGACCAGTGGTGGAAAGAGTACTGAAAAGTCATACTTAGGTAAAAGTACCATTACTTGCCTAAAAATGTAGTGCAAGTAGAGTAAAAGTATCTGTTGTGAATATAAACCGATTTTCATTTTCAAACAAAATGCAAAGTCCTCATGACGTTAGGGTACAACCTCAATCTGACGTCATGTTGACATTCTGTGTCTGCTTGGTGTTAAAGGCCATTTCGGTCATCATAGAGTCAACATCCGTCATATTTTCATCAGTGACATGCATCTAAACATTCTTTGGGTCATTGTGTGTAAAGATTTTGGACATCTTCTTAGACCATTTTTAAAGCTTTCAAACAGTTTGCTGCATTTATAAATCGCCCATGTCTTGAGGTAGTTTAGTATGATGTGATTTACCTTCTTTGTGTGATCTGATTGTACAGGAATCACAGGATTGATTTTTCTAATCCCCATAGACAATAAAAAATAAAGTATTGACTGCAGGTTGAAGGAAAGTAGTGGAGTAAAGCACTAAAAATTTACTCAAAGGAAAGTAAAAGTAAACATTTTAAAAACTACTTAGTAAATTACAACTCCTGAAAAAAAATCTACTCAATTACAGTAATTTGAGTATTTGTAATTAGTTACTTTACACCACTGGTTACGACAGTGTGACTTCAAGTTTAACCTAGAAGTTAGCATTGAAACAGTTTCATTTTAGTGACTTCTAATTTAAAAAATTATTGTCAAAAATGACTGACCGACAAAAAAATTCTTATTAATTATGTTATGCTACGCTATATCATTACAAAATATTGGACTTACGGTTTTAGTCATCTTGTTTTCCTCTCATTACAATAGATTTTGTTTTTGCTTCATTGATCTAAAAATGAAACCTCATCCTAGTGAGAAAGATGAGAGCCTGTAATGCTCAACATAGTTTTCACCAATATACCATAATCATAGATCAGTGGTGCTTATAATCAATCACATTCAAAAGCATATACAAGACAACTAAAAGATCTTTTATAACAAGAAATTTATGAGCAGTTTTTTTTGTACACAGCAGTGTGATGGAAACAGATCACGCATAATAACAGAAGCCCTCTCGGCAGCAGTTTAAATCTGTCAGTAGCTGTCTGGAAATGTTCTGCAGCAGGCGATGAAAGTGACTGTCTGAAATAATGCATCTCCTATGAGGCCTTAACAATTCAAGCTAGTCAACCTCAGTAAATGACAGGTAATTTGTTGGATATTTAAATGACTATCAATCATCCAGGATCATTTCTAGACAATTTTCAAAAGCTGTAGCTTGAGGGCTTAGTTACTTTTGTCAGATTTTATTTTTATTTATTTACATATTTGTTTATTGGAATTTGCACATAAGGACAAATTTTGGATACATATAGATTTTCCCTAAGCAGATATTGCTCTCCATTCAAGTTTCATCAAATTCAAACAAAACGTGGCATGACTTTTCCATGAGGCTATCTGTATGGTTGATAATAGGCAGATTTGATATTTTGGTTAAATTATGTTAATGTGATCTGGTTCGAAATCATCTATAACAGTGATGTCTAAATTCAGTCCTAGAGGGCCAGTGTCCTGCATAGCTTGCCTCCAACTTCTATCAACACACTTGCCTGGAAGTTTTAGCATAGAGAGAGGTTGAGTAGCTTGTTCAGGAATGTTTAATCAAGGTAGAAACTAAAATTAGCACGACACCGCCCTCCCCGGGACTGAGTTTGGGCACCCCTGATCATAAAGACAGCAACTCTCTTCTTAACTGGATCGGCACTTTCTTTAGGATTGTCCAAAACAGTTAAATAAAGCCACCAAACATCTAAAAGTGCAAGTCAAGAATGAAAAAAAATTCTAAGTCTGAAGTTACACTCAACTGTCACTTTATTAGGTACACCTGTCCAACTGATTGTTAAAGCAAATTTCTTTTTTGGTCAAGACAATCTGCTGCAGGTCAAACCACCATCAGAATGGGGTAGAAAGAGTATTTAAGTGACTTTGAGGTACTCGAGGTATGCAGAAGAGAACATCTCCCAATACACAATACGTCCAACCTTGAGGCGGATGTGCTACAGCAGCAGAAAATCACACCGGGTGCCACTCCTGTCAGCTAAGAACAGGAAACTGAGGCTACAATTCACACAGTCTCACCAAAATTAGACAATAGAAGATTGGAAAAATGTTGCTTGGTCTGATGAGTCTCGATTTTTGCTGCAACATTCAGAGAGTAGGGTCAGAATTTGGTGTCAACTACAAGAAAGCATGGATACATCCTGCCTTGTATCAATGGTTCAGGCTGGTAATGTTGTTAAATTGGTGTGGATATATTTTATGCCACACTTTAGGTCCATTAGTACCAATTGAGTATTGTGTCAATGCCACAGCCTACCTGAGTATTGTTGGTGACCATGTCTATCCCTTTATGACCAGTGTACCCATCTTCTGATGACTAGTTCCACCAGATCTCAATCCAATAGAGCACCCTTGGGATGTGTTGGAACTGACGATTCGCATCATGGATGTGCAGCCGACAAATCTTCGTACTTGTTATTTACAAGTGAATTACTATGTATAATAGGCCTACTATAATATTTATTTAAATTTATTTAGTTCACATCAGCATCACTATCCACCCTAAATGAGATTATATTCTACAGCTCTTTTAAATTAAATCACTAATAGATAAATTCATTTTGATTGTTCCTTACTTATGTATTTTCAAAAAAAGCTCTCAGTTGATGCAAAAACATCGTCCATGTCACGTTTTATACTGCCGGTAATAAATTTGAACAAACTCTTAACCCTAATTACACCAAATAATAATAGTGATGCTCTCACATTTAACCAGGTTCTAGGCCAGCTATAATAAATTCAGCTCCTGACACCAGCTTTGAAACTACGCCAAAGAGTGTTTGCCAGCGCATTATATTTTCAGCCCTGACTGAAGTGTTGAGACAGAGTTTCAGCCCAGATCTGTGGGGTGTTTATAGAGGCTGCGGTGAAGCAGTCTTTCTGCCCAGAGGGAACGCGCTATCAAACAGTCAAGATCCTCCAACAAACACACTGCACACAATGACAGGGACTCACGTCGAAAGGAAGAACCTCCACTGTAGTGTTGAAAAGCTTGTCTCCGGGGTGCTCGATGTTTCCACTGCGGAAGAAATACCTGCAAACACACACACACAACAGGAAAACTATCAATCTTAGAAATTCCTTAAGGAGTAGAACGCTAAAAGATCGTACTGCATATATGTTTCCTCATATATCATCCTATCATGGGTTTATTTATAGAGCCTGTAGCACACAGTGGCCCCAAAAAGAGTTGAAATGTATTTATTTATTTATTTAAAGTGTTTTTTGAAAGAAGTCTCTTATGGTCACCAGATTTGCTTGATTGAAAATTTTGGTAAAATAGTAATATCATTACAATGTATAAGAACAAAAATGTAATTTATTCCTGTAATGATGGAAGGATTTCATTATTATTAATTCAGCAACAATTTATTTTTATTTTTATTTTAATGTCATTTTAAATCATTATTGTTATTATTACCATCAATTAAAATCAACACAAAAAAACTATATTTGCTGTATTTATATTATTGTAATTATAATTAGTTTTTTAAATTAAATTATGAATTGTTTTTATTAAATTAAAAGATTTTTTAAAAGTTTACTCATTTAAAATATTCAGCTCTTAAGCAATTCAAGAAACCACCTTCTAGTAATCAGTTCTCTGGATTTCCCATTAATACGAATATGTTTTAGGAGTGTGTTTTATTTCAACAGTTCAAATTTATTTCAGTTCTTAAACAAACAAACAAACAAACAAACAAACAAACAAACAAACAAACACAAAGTGTGTGTGTGTGTGTGTAAGATATGCAAAAATATGTAAATATTTGTTATATTTGTTATTTGTATATTGTTGTTATTTTATTTTGGCCTATTGTAATCTTCTCTAAATTCATATAATCTTATTTGAAATGTCATTATTGATTAAAACAATTCTAAAATAGAACCATTAATAACTTTTGAAGTAGCTCCTTTTTTCGGACTTGTTAATCCTATATAAAATTATAAACAATTTTACTCTGACCTTAAAGCTATTTCAATAGCTCCAATTTTTACAAGATTTAAGTGAGTTGAGACTTTTTTGTGTAGCCAGAATGTGTCTGTGAAGTTTCAGGTCAAAATACCCATCAGATCCCATTTACTATATACCCTGTTGCCTTTAAATGAAAATGAGCTGGTTTACTCTGCCCACTCTCAGGAGATTTAGCTTCAGAGAAGAAAAAAATCAGGGTTGGTTGTCAGGATAAACACAGCAAAAATGATCCAAAAGCAACTCGATGAAGCAATGACACAATGAAACAAAAACACGCTTAACATGTGTTTTTGCTAATCTTCTCACTGCAAATGTGAAAGGATGCCAAAGAAAAAAGTTAATACAATATGCTGCTGTATAGAAATCATTATAGCCAAGTTACTGTATAAAATAAACCTGACTTCAAACCTGCATTCAGGTTGTGTGATTGAAGAGTCCTTGTTTATTGCTGTGTACACTATGCAGCTGTGTTGATTTTAGCAGTTATGAATTACAGTGGTCCCTCACTATAACACAGTTCATCTTTCATGGCTTCGCAGTTTCACAGATTTTTTCGTGCACTTTGACATGCTTTTTTTTTTTTTTTTTTTTACAACATTCTGCACCGTCAAAGGCACCTGTGGTAGCACTTTAAAGGCAGAGGAAAATGCTAACCACTGCACAAAAAGTTGAACTTCTGGACATGCTAAAGGAAGGTACAGTAGAAGTTACACAGCTGTAGGGTGCCGTTACGGAATAAATAAATGAAGATTAAATGGTTTTGATATTCAGTTTTATTCTTTAATCCTGAACTTATTTTTTTCTATGAAGGTTTGAACTTTGAAAGTTTTAAACAGGAGAAAATCTCTAAAATCTCTAAATGCCATCTGAAATATTCTTCTAAAATCAGCATTTTGTCAGGCTCCTACGTGCCGGTTCAGTAATTTCACTTTTATGGCGCAAAAAAATAAATAAATAAATAAAATAAAATAAAAATTAGGAAAAAAAAAATAGGAGTTATTTCTATGATCTTTAAAGTAAAATAAATCAACATAAACAAAAGAGACTGAGAAAATTTGTTATTTTTGACTAAAATTTCAGATGACACAGAGGTTTTTGCATCTTAACTCTTCAAATGTTAATGCCTGTCAGAGAAAAGTGTATAAAGTGTGTGGTATGAGGTTTTACAGCCTTAAAACATCTTTAAATGTAAAAAAAAAAAAGCTGACTACTTCATGGATTTCGTCTATTGCAGGTTATTATTAGAAAGTAACTCCCGCGATTAATGAAGGACCACTGCACATAGATAAAAAAGTATAGTTCAAAATGCTATTAAAAACACAAAGCATAGCACTTACTGCTTTATGAAGTGCAGTTTGATCAAGAGTTATACAGAACATTTAATTTCAGTTTCTTTGCAATTCCTGTCATGTAGACACGTTTATACAAGTTAATACTAAAATATATTGCACCTGATCCAAAAAAAAAAACCCATTTACAAATGCCAATACAAATGAGCCACACACAAATGCTGTTACAAAAGCACATTGAGATGTTTCTGATCACTCGCAGCAAATGTGACAGGATGCCAAAGAAATAGGTTAATATGCTGCTGTATAGAACTCATTATTGCCAAGTTACTAAATAAAATAAACCTGATTTAATGTCCACAAACCGACAATCACGTTGTGTAATTGAAGCGTCCTCGTTTATAGTTGTGTACACTATACAGCTGTGTTAATTTCAGCAGTTATGTATTATGTAGCTCAAAAATGAGTTCAAAATGCAATGAAAAATCCTGGCAATCCTGTTTGCTTGATGAGTCCTAGTTTATAGTTGTGTACACTATGCAGCTGTTTTAATTTCAGCAGTTATGAATTACAGTGGTCCCTTGCTACAACGCGGTTCACCTTTCATGGCCTCGCAGTTTTGATGATTTTTTTCTTGCAATTTGACATGGCTTTTTTTAAACAATATTCTGCACCGTCAAAGGCAAAGGAAGATGCTAACCATTAAACAAAAAGTAGAACTTTTAGACATGCTAAAGGAAGGTAAAAGTTACACAGCTGTACGGTGCTGTTACGGAATAAATAAATGAAATGGTTTGATCTTTAGTTTCATTCTTTAATTCTGAATTTATTTTTTAATTTATTAGTTTTAGTTTTAAACAAGAGAGAAAAGTGTGAAAATGTTAACTCAATGCTGTCTGAGAAAAGTGTATAAAGTATGCAGTAAAGGGTTTTACAGCCTTAAAACATCTATAATAATTGTAAAAAATAAAGCTGACAACTTCGTGGATTTTATCTATTGCGGGCTAATTTTAGAACATGACTCCCGCGATTAACAAAGGACTACTGTACATAAATCAAAAGTATCGTTCAAAATGCTATGAAAAACACAAAGCATAGCACTTACTGCTTCATGAAGTGCAGTCTGAGTTAAACAGAACATTTAATCCCAGTTTCTTAGCAAATCCTGTCATGAGGACATGTTTATACATGTTAATACTAAAGTAATATCAACATCCAGAGCTTTTTGTCTGACTGCATCTCTGTTTAATGGTTATCGTCTTTTTTCATATATATTTTGTACACTGGAAGCTTCTGTAGCCAAAACAAATTCCTTATGTGTTAAGCACACTTGGCAAACCGATTCTAATTCTGATTCTGATTATGAATATGCGCCAGTCAATCAATATTGGCTGGCAGGGAAAACCACACTGCTACATCACATTGGGTGGGCCTCAAAATCAAGAAATTTGGATTCTTTTTTTAACGTCAGGAAATTTAAAAAGAGACTTGTTGTGTTTATTTCACTCTAATATAATCATTGACACACTACAATATATCTACACACAGTTCTGTCAAAACAGCTTACAAAAGTTGATTTTGCATCATAGGTGCCCTTCAATACATCCTTGCTGATTAAAAATAAAAATCTGACATCTGAACGGTAGTGTAAGGCACAGAAAAAACCCAGAAAACAAATTGACATTTGTGTTATATAAAATACCAAACCAAGTGATTAAAAAAACCTCACCCACAAGCTAATTAAATGCATCTACAAATGCAGCTCAGGAAAAATGAGTTCTGAGAAAAGCCTTTGCGCACAGATGACACTAAAATGCTATCTGTAATGACATTCCCACATATTAAAATGTCCAAAAAACAATTTCCTTGCAGTCGTTCAGTCTTCATTCTCCTCTTTGGTTCAGAGAAACACGAGCAGATTTCTCTGTATAATTACATGTGTAGAGCCGCCGCGGAGTGTAAATGGACACCTGCGCTTGTTAATCTGTGACTTCTGTAGCATGAAGGAAACCAGTGAGAGATCGGCAAACGCTCTCATTCAGACTGAGCGCTATTAGCTCTCAATTATGCCTGAAATATGCATGAACTCTCCATTAGGGTTAAAAATGTATGGATGACTGTGGCTCATGATGATTGATGCATTATGCGGCTCCTGTGAGTCAGCGTGATCAGAAAGACTGTGCGAAAACGAGCTTAATTATAAAAATGGACAACATGCTTTTCTACTTCATTCACAGGGAGAAACTAATCAGGGAAGGAAAATGAAAGCTCACGATCAACTTGACGACACTCATAAATTTGTGGATGGTATAACTGATTTATTTTTTTTGGAGGAAAAGCATATCAAATAATGAATAAGTCATTTATTTAATAAAATAGAATTTTATGATATTAAAAAAAGGTAATAAATTATTATAAATTGTATTAAATATACATAAATTAGAGTAAATAGATAAATCATCACACTAAATAAATCAATAAATATTAGTATAAAACTATATTATGACTGCAATAATCATATAAAATAAAAACAAAAAAAATATTAAATAAAATTCAATTAAATAAATGAGCTAAAATGTTGTTTAAAGGGCATTTATTGTACCCCTTTTCAAGATTTAGGAGAAGTCTTTTGTGTGTGCAGAATGTGTCTGTAAAGTTTCAAAACCCCCATTAGATTATTTATTATACCTTTAAGAATATTGGAATTGTTTTTGTTGCCTGTGCCGTTAATGCTAGTTCTCCTCACTCACCGTTCCCATGTGCCAGAGCGTGCCTTAATCTCCAGCATTAGATAAACAGCACAGTGACAGACATGAAGGAAGCAGATCTCACATAACATTTGTGACAAATACTACAGTAAGATCTTTCCCAATGATTATTTGATGTTTTTGTTGTGGAATTAACTCAAGCCTTTCTGCAACAATGAGTTGCACACAATGTCATTACACACACACAGCTCATGTTTAACTGTAATGTGACAGGATACACGTTAATATACACTGTTGTATGGATCTTCGTTGTGTTAACGGTCAAAATAACCTGATTTAACATCCACAAACCAGGAAGAGTCTTTGTTCTGACATGCGACTGTGGTGATAAAGTAAAGACGGTAAAATCGCTGTAATTCCTTACAAACCTGCACAGATTTGAAAATGTTTTAAACTGGTAAAACTCATTATTGATAACATTTGATGATGATTGATGATTACAGCAAGCTGAGCAGATCATTTAATCCCAGTTGCTCTGCGCATGTCCTTTCTTGTTGATATGATTATACGTGTTACTACAGAGACATGTTAATACGTGGTTGTCAATCAATTCAGTGGGCGGGGAAACAGCACTCCTACGTCACGTTGCGGTGGGCCTCAAAATGGGAGGGATTTGGATCCTATTTTAACATCGGGAAATCAGTCATACTAAATGTTCACTGTAAAAAGTGAACTCGTTGCCTTATAATTATTTAGTAAACAAACTATGTGCCTAATTATGAAAGTTAAGTCAACGGGTTTACTGACTTTAAGTAAATTAACTACTTGCTTTTTACAGTGTGTTATTTGTTGGAACATTGCATCTCTCATGTCCTCTACGCTACGTAATATCATTCCACATGGTGCAGGCATAGTACAGCAGCAGAGTTTTTTTGACTATTACCAAAGACTATAGAATACACAAGACATGTTACTAATATGGCAAATGAAGCCCCGCCTACTAGTATAGAGGCCAATCATCGATCATTATAGACTGATGTTTCTCCGTTGGAGTAGCTCGGACCAGATGTGTGCCTTTAAAACTTGCTTTACAGACATAAGAAATATATCCACAAAAATTCTGTACCTTTAAATTAACTAACTACACTTGCTTTAACTACACTTTAATAAATAAAGGTACAGGAGCTGTTACTGGGGTAGTACCTTTTCAAAAGATACGTATTTGTACCCTAAGAGTCCACAATAGTATGATGCATATTAGTGCATATTAGTACCCAAATGTACCCAAAAAGTACCTTTGAGGACCCCATTGTGGACCCCTTCAGGTACAAATATGTACCATTTGAAAAAGTACTACCCCAGAGACAGTTCCTGTACCTTTAAATCTGAGAGTGTACCGTTATCTATATGAAACAACCATGAAGTACAGTGCGTCCTGTCAATCGCACTTACCATGACAGCAACTACTCAAATGCCCGCAAACTTGTAAACAAAGAGTCATGTTCATTTCTGGAAGAGATTCGGCATCAAGACCAAGTTGTGAGTTACTTCAGAAGACCAGCGGGATCAGATGATCATTATTCAGAGGATGATAATGTGTAGAACGGCCATAAATGAGGTTGGCGTCGTGATCTCGTTCCTTTCGAGTGCGCATTAGCTCAGGCAACCTGAAAATATGCCAAGTTTGTTTGTTTTGAATGTTTAGAAACTAAACTTATGAGATAGTTGTTGTCATTTTATTGGTGGTTAAAAATATGTAATGTAATCATAAGCTTTTTAATTAATTAAATTAAATTAATTAATTAATTAGTAAATAATTATAAAATTATTTAAATAAATCAATCTATATTGTGATTATTAAGACAAATGATTATCGTTTCAATTTAAAATGCTTTAATAATTTATTATTTTTTGTTTTTATTAACTGGGACCAAATTTCTTTCTAATAGCTGATGATAAGTAATGATATTTAAACAGCGGTATTATAGAGAACATTCTCTCTTGCTGATGCTTTCTCAATAAATAAATATTAAATAAATGAAATTGGAAATTAGATTTTTCTTTTAAGTGAGCTCAATAAGGGATTCACTTCTCATCATATGCAATACTGCATTTTGGGCCAAAAGCCAGAATAATCGTTTTGTAATTCATTATGTTTCGGAGAGTGCTTGTAAAAGCATGTAGGCATTCATGCATGTGTAATAGAGAAACTCGAGGGCTTTCTCAGAGTTTTTGTCAGTATGTTTGTACCTCTCTACTCGGACAGGTGTGAAGAAGCGAATGCGTATGAAGTCTCCAGCGACAGGTGTAAAAGCCCAGAAGAAATCCTCTCCTAGATAAGCCTTCTCCAGGGTGAAGTGCTGGTACGTTTTTAGACTGGTGGTGACCTCAGCCAGCGGGTTAGCATGACCTTTATGCAATGTCTGCTTTCCAAAGTCCTTATCCTGTTAAAAATAGCAAAAAGTAATATTGCAACCATAAATTACAAGGTGTACCACGTTTTTAATCAGCATAAGGGGAAACTTAAGAGTAACTAAATGCAGATAGATTACTAAAAATACTAGTAAGATTACAAGGCACCAGAAAAAAAACAAGGTATGTGAGAAAAAAAAATGCTTTTTTACAGGCTAAATCTGCAGTGATTTCATATTAGAGACAAAACTAATGTAAAATGTAATAAAAACAAACTGACTTTGTGAAAATAAGCTACTTAAAACATATAATTATAAATCTAAAATGGTAGACATCTTGGATAAAACTGCAAATTCATTTTCTTCCAGCAGGTGGTGGTATTGAAAACAGCTTTTCCTTGTTTACAACTGTATGCAAATCAGCTGCATTATGCAGAGATTATCTGTATTAGAAGAAAAAATACCCTATATACTCTTATTACAACAGAATTTTTCACTCAGAAATACTTTAATAAGAGCCTAGAGAACAATATTTAGAATGTTTCCACATCAGTTTTTCAAAAACCCTACTAAATTACTATAATTTACATCTAAAAATTAAATGAACAGATACACAGTTATATTGGATAAAGTTAATGTACATTAAGTATGGATGTTTACTCAAATTTTAGACTTTATTTAGACCATATCGGGGGGTTTATAAGTTGTATTGGAAATTGGCTGAATACATAAACATGATTTGTGCATTATTTGAAATATTTAGGGAATCATGTCAGATAACGTTTGTTCAAATGGCTGCATCTTTTGTTATTCAGTGCGTTTCTGTCATCTGTGCTCATAGACTGTAAAATCCTGTCAAGATTAGCCTGTCCCTTTCTGTATGCATCTCTTCTCCACCCTTTCTAATCTAGGTTCCTTTACAGACTTAGTATAAAGTGAGTAAAGTATGTTTGCATTTCAGAACACAGATTGGCTGAATTGAAGAAACAAAAAAGAAAATAATCATTCTGAGTAGCCTCCACCCCAAAAAATGCAGTACATTTTCTTACTGCAACTGCATTTTTAGTTTTCTGTGAAGGAACTTGACTAGCCTGCACAGAGTCCTGACCTTAGGACCTCATCTGCCTGTGCAGATTGCACATTTCTAAAATAGACTGTCCAGTTCTGGTTTATTAATAGTCAATCCATGCAACCCTAATATAAAAAGTTTTCATTTGATATTCGCAAGAAAGAATCATTCTGGCAGCCACAGTAGCCTCCACCTTAATTAAGCGCAATACATTTTCTCTCCACAACTGCCTTTTTTGTTTGCTGTGGAGGAATTTGACTGGCCTGCACAGAGTCCTGACCACAACCAGACTGAACACTTTTCGAATAAATTATAGCACACACTGTAAACCAGGCCTTCTTGTCTAGCATCAGTGCCTGACCTCACAAATGCACTTCTGGAACAGGGGTTCCTAAACTTTTCAGCCCGTGACCCCCCCCAAAAAAATGCCAGTGACCTGTGACCCCCACATTCCTTGACAGTGGCTATAAATATACTCATTTTTGCACATACAGTAGACCTCTATAAACATAAGCATATTGACAACACAAAAAAAGCAACAGTCTAACAACCATAATCTATAATTTATATAGTATTTATTAATGTTTCATTTAATATTAACCTTTCAGCACAAGTCTATTCTTGGTTTAATATTGGAGACCGCCAATCAGAGATCATCTTCAATATTCAGTTGTGACCTGTATTTATTTTGAATGTATTTGATTGCTATAAAAGTGTCAGAAAGTTTAACCTGGCGCTATAAAATCAATCTGATGCAGCTGACGCTATTGCCGTGTTGTAATTTAAACACACAATGCTATGAAAAAAAAGAAAAGGCTTATGGTTTTTTATTTGCATGTTGTTGCTTTTTGAGGCAATTAACTACTATTTTCATCTTCTGTGGGTTATCGATAAAATATGATAACTTAAACAGTTTAATCAAATTTATTTGACTTTTGGAAATCACTAAGCGACCTCCTGTTGTTGTCCCATATGGATGAATGTATATTAAGTATAGCTGTTTACTCAAGCTTTAGACTTATATTTAGGCAATATCAATAATTCTAAGTTGTATTAGAAACTGGCCAAATACATATTATGATCTGTGCATTATTTGAAATATATAAGGGAATCATGTCAGATAACGTTTGTTCAAATGGCTGCTACTTTAGTTTTCAGTGTGTTTCTGTCATCTGTGCTCATAGACTGTAAAATCCTGTCAAGATTAGCCTGTCTGTTTCTGTATGCATCTTTTCTCCACCTTCTCTAATCTCAGTTCCTTTACAGACTTAGTATAAAGTTGTGGCAGTGAAGTTTTTATGCATATCCGAACACTTTAGTTTAGGTCACAATTCACGGTATTAACAAACCATTAACTAACACTACTAGCTTGATAAATGACTAATTAGCTGTTTATGAACAGTTGGTAAGGTAGAACTTGGATTTAGGTTTCGGGCTGGATTAGGGATGCAGAATAAGATAATATATTATAACTAGTAATAAACAGTTATTAACTTAATAATAGGCAGTAGTTACCAGTGTGAATTGTAACCTAAAGTGTTAACCACATTTCTAACATAAATCATCCAGTTCTAGTTTACCGCGAGTCAATCAATGCAACCCTGATATAAAAAGTTTTCATTTGATATTTGCAAGAAAGAATCATTCTGGCAGCCACAGTAGCCCCCATAAAAAAATAAAATAAAAAACGCAATACATTTTCTTCCTGCAACTTTTTAGTTTGCTGTGGAGGAATTTGACTGGCCTGCATAGAGTCCTGACCTCAACCAGACAAAACATCTTTCGGATAAATTATAGCAGAGACTGTGAACCAGGCCTTCTTGTCTAGCATCAATGACTGACCTCTCAAATGCACTTCTAGAAGACCAACATACTTCTAAACCCTTTAAAAAAACCTTCCCAGAAGAGCTGAAGCTGTTGTAGCAAAGGGTGGATGACTCCATAATAAACCCTACAGATTAAGATTGAGATATCATTCAAGTTCATGTGCTGTGTGTGTAAAGTTTCACAGCATTCATAGTTTGGTATAAAAACAGTTGAATGACTATAGATGAAGACTATCAGCAATGATTCAGGCAGGTATTATGATAAAGTAGGCGGAAGAATACAGTGAGCATGACCATCAGGAAGCAGAGCGTCAGATGTGTTCACCAGCTCGCCGGCAGACAGGAAAAAATCAATACGACATGGAGCAGGCAAGTCATATGAGCACTCTTGGCCATGGAGATTCCTAACGCTCTTCATTTACAGGGAATAAAGACAGAGCAGGGAAATAAGCTGATTTATTAGGATATGAGCTCTTATCGGCTGCCTGCTGGGTTTTGTGATTTGTAATTTCGAGGATCTCGGAAGAGAAATTAACATAGTCCTGAGGCAGACTACTGTGCCGGAGGCTTGCAAATCTATAAAATGATTGCGCACACACATGTAAATAAGTAAAGACCTTTAGTTGGAAATCACCTTGAGTTTCTGGATCTTTCCAGCGAGGGAAGAGTGTGTTCCGACATGCTGGAAGAGAGATGGTTTAAAGCGAATGCGTAGGTTTGCTTTCTGTCTGTCACAATGTTTCTGTGGGACACAAAGAACATTTGTATATATATTATATCATATGTAAATGTCTCATACAGTCTTATGCAAAAGTTTGGCTACCCCTGATAATTTTTATAATTGCAAGCCATAGCCTGCTGGCCTCTCAAATCAGCAATTTCATTTGGATATATTTTATACCCTACACTGTAAAACACAACAGTCAGCTTTATCAAATGAAATGAGTGTAGTAAACTCAGAATTGACTAAAAGCTATTTCTACTTATTTGAAAAGAGTTTTGAACACAGTGTTGAAGGTAATGAGTTAATTAAATACCTAATTACTTCTAATGAAATGCAGCAAGTTCACAGTACTCATTTAGATTAGTTTAACTCAAATGGTTTGTAGCAATCGGTTTTCTCAAACAAAAGAACTTAACTTATTGGATTTTACAGTACCCAATTGGTTTGAGTTCTCTTCATTTATTGGGCTTTACTGTGCTCAAATTGCTTCTTTTACTAAAATGAATTAAGTTTTACCCATTTAGATTGTTTTTTGAACCAAAATGGTTTGTTACAATCATTTTCCTCAAATGATTCGAGTTACCTTAACTCAAATCACTGGGAAAAAGCAACATTTCAGTTCTGACATAACATTTGTTTAATTAACTAATGCAATGCAATTTAAATAATGACAAAAACAGGCAGGTACAAAAATGTGGGCACCCCAATAGAATAATGACATCAATATTTTGTACAGCCAGTTTTTGCTGAAATAACAGCCTGTAGATGCTTCCTATAGTCAAAGATATATGCCTGAATTCTTGCTAAAGGTATTTTGGACCATTCCTGCTTGCAAAATTCTCCAGTTCAGTCAGGTTTGATGGGTGCTGAACAGCATGAACTGACTTTTTCAAATCAATCCATACATTTTTGATCATGTTCAAGTCTGGGAACAGGGATGTCCATTCTAGAACACTATATTATATCTGAGCATGAATTCCTTGGTAGATCTGGAACTGTGCTTTGGGTCACTGAAACATCCAACCCTGTCGTAACTTCAGCCTCTAGACTGATATCCTGAACATTGTTCTTCAAAATCTGCTGATACTGGGTGGAAATCCATGCAACCTTTGAGGTTTACAGTAGCTGTGCTTGCCACACATCCCCACAGCATGATGGACCCTCAACCATATTTACAGTAGGGAGCTGGTTCTTCTCCTGAAATGCTGTGTTCTTTTTTCACTACGCAAAACGCATATGAATGCAGCATTTGTCCACAGCATATTTTTCCAAATTGATTCAGGTTTGTCCAGGTGAGCTTTTGCATTCCTCAAATGACTCTTCTTGTTGCAGAATGCAGAAAAGTCTTCATCTGCATCACCTAACATTGAGCTGTTCTTTGTAAAGAATGTGCTGAACTGTGGAACAATGTAAATTAGCAGCAGCAAAATGTTCCTGGAGCTCTTTGGAGGTGGTCTGTGGTTTATCTGTGACCATTCTAACCATGCTTCCCCTTTGCCGTTCAGATATTTTTCTTGGTCTAGCACATCTTCCTTAACAAGGGCTGTTCCTTTGGCCTTCCATTTTCTTACTATATTTCTGACTGTGAAGATAAAGACTACAAACCTTTGTGATAGCTTTTTGTATCCTTCTTTTAAATCAGGGGTGTACAAAATAGGTCTTGGAAGGCTGGTGTCCTGCTGAGTTTAGCTCCAACTTGCTTCAACACACAAGCCAGGAAGTTTCTAGTATATCTAGCAAGAGCTTGATTAAATGATTCAGGTGTGTTTGATTAGGGTTTGGAGTTAAACTCTCCAGGACACTGACCCTCCAGGACCGAGTGTGGACACCCCTGTCTTATATCATGTTGATCAATTATCCTAGTATTTAGGTCATTAGGAAGTTCTTTTGAGGTCTCTATGTTGATACTTTCAGATTCACAATAAGGAGAAGCACAACTAGCAATCAGCCAAAATCATTTTTCATGATTGATGGCATCTGTGTTAAGATTGTTAAGGTATGAGCCACTCGAATCATTTTTTGTTGTTATCTATTAACATTAAGTGACTACAGGTTTTGGAATGCACACAAAAGAGAGGGTTCCCAAACCTTTGCATAACCTATTTTTCAGTTTGACTTAATTTCACACTTGCCAGTACTGCTACACTACGTTATTCTGTCATAAAAGCATTATCTAGCTTTCTCTAGAAACTGAATGGCATTTCACTGTAATTTTCTCTTATAAAGAAAGAGCATATTATTATGGAGCCTCAGAAAGGTGCCCAAATTTTTGCATAAAACCTTATATAAAGAAAAAATCAATTGATGTTTAGCCACATATACAATGAAATATTACCGACATTTATATACACAAACATATTACAGATGTATTGACAATTTTTATAAAACCACAGTTGACTTGCTTTACAGCTTTAACCTGATAGTCATACAAATTATGTTCAGATACACTTTTTGGAGCAGCTAAAGTAGAGAGATGCAGTTTCATCTCTGACAGAGTTGGAATGTCTACCGGTTTCTGTCATATTCAAGTACCTCTAATGAGTGATCTTCCAGCTTTAAAGGGATTGAAACAGAATATTTCTCCTAATTTCTCCTAACCCTCAAGTGGCTCCGAACCCATAAGTCTTTCATTCATCTATGAAACTCAAATGAGAATATTTTTAAGTGAAACCTGAGAGATTTCAGTCCCTTAATTGAAAGTCGATGCAGCCTAAATTTTCAAGATTCAAAAAGTTAATAAGAAACGAAATCATGAGCAGCAAGCAAGCACAAATGAGCCTCTTTTTCAATAAACTTTAGGCACGGTTAAAAATATTGACCACCCTTGGTAAATACGAGCAATGAAGGCTGAGAAAATTAAAATTTTTTTCACAAAAATACTATTTAAAATTGGAAGTACAGTGAGTGACATTGTGAATTAACCTTAAAAAAAGATGCACAAGGCATGAGTATTAGCACAAAATGGGTTACTGTGCACAAAAGTAAGCTCCTGCTATAGCAGTACCTGTTCTCTGACCTGTACCCTATAGAAAATAAGCTTACAAAAACTGAAGAACAACATAATTTCAAGGATCTAGAGAGTATAAAATGGTCTCTGATCTCTTTCCAGGTTTATTCTCCAACCTTCCAACCCCTTGAGGCATTATTTAATAAGAGTCTGTCATCTGAGAAAAAGGAGGTTTCATGAAAACTTTAAATAAAAGTGCGCCAATAATTTTGGCCAGTGTGTACTGAAGAGGAAACACTTTGTTGGTAGTTTGTAATGTTTTATTTGTTTGTTTGCTTTTAAAGAAACATAAAAAGCATAAACAAAGATGATGTATTTTCATAGCCTTCTTTGCATTAATTTACCAATGGAGCCATTAATCTTGAGCAAGGCCATTTCTTTAGAAACCTTGGAAGAAACCGCTTAGTGCATAAGGAGTATTTTTTACAATGTCATCATGAACTTTTTGAAGCCTGAATAGATTGGTAGAATAAAGAAATTATATTTCTCAGAATTTATAAAAATACCCAAACTTGTGTTTCAGATATGAATGAAAGAGTATGAGTTTTAGATTTCACAACGATGAGCTACTGTAGTACTTCCATTCTATTAAGATACACTACATCAGTGGTTCTCAAACTTTTTTTCACCACGTACCATCTCAGAAGTCTCTCCAAGTACCACCATAATGACTAGTATTGAAATAGTATAGCGTATAGGCTTAATTAAGCAGCTACAGCTCTGCACAGTTCAAAAACGTGGCAGATTAATTCCTATTGTTATGAATATTTATTATTGTCAGCCACTTTTAACATTATTAATAGTTTGAACATTAACTAAAACATTAAAAATAAACAATACATCAACGTGTGCTTTTGAAAGTTAATTAAAAATGGCTGTTCTTAAAGTAAACAGAAAACTGCTGTGCTTAAATGTAAAGTATTACCATTTAGTAGCCTATTCATGAAAACCTGGAAATCTTCCTTAGACCTCATAAATATCATCATATTCATGTATAAACACTTTGATAAATTTTGAAATATATGGTACATGTATATACTGTATATATATATATATATATATATATATATATATATATATATATATATATATATATATATATATATATATATATATATATGACTTATTTGTATATCTTTGAGCTCTAAACATTAACTTGAATTTTAAATATATGATTTATATTAACATATTTAAATTATAAATTAGATCTGCTTACTGCGCGTTAGAGTAGGCTTTGTGTGTCAGAGAGGTGATTAAACTATACTGTAGCTGTCAACATTAGGATATAAAAATACGAGATACACTCCCAACAACCATTACAAATATGGGAAGGAAATTAGCTTCAAATGACGGAATACAAAACAAAAGGTCTAGCATATTAAAATCAATTTACTGATAACATCTGTGGTATCGTATGCGTTAAAAGTGTGCTAATTTTTTTACTTTAATTATTTAGCGATTCCTTCGAGTACCACTTGATGGAAGCCTGCGTATCACTAGTGGTACATGTACCACAGTTTGGAAACCACTGCACTACATAGACTACACTGTAATAAATATCTGTGTATTACCAGTTTTCATAATTTTGTGATTAATGTTTTTATTTTACCCCTCTCCTCTCCCCAATTATTTATGCTTTTGAATAGCATTATGGGACCCTGACCTTTTTTCAAAGAACGTTTAAGTTAAAAAAGTGATTTTTATTGACATTTCTAACAATTTAAAGTGATATATTGTCTGAGTTACAGTACAGAAACCTTGTAATAAACTGCCAGTACATTTTCTATTATTTTACAGAATTAATTCTATATATTATTTCTTATCCATTATGTTATACCATTAAAATGTCAATAAAAGTCACTTTGTTAAACTGTAAAGTTGAATTTAAACATCAAAAGTCAACAGAGCAGAGATCAAATTCCCATAATGCACTTCACAACTGTAAAGAAACGGAAAACACTTGTGAATCACAAAGTGAAATTTAGAAATATGGCATGAATTATCATCTTTATGCTGATGATATACAATTATATATTTCTGTTGAGCCCAGAGACACTGCTGCAATGAAAAATTTGTTCAACTGCATGTCCAATACTGCACAATAGATGACTGCTAATTTTTTCTAAGTTGAATAAAGATAAAACTGAAATTCTTATTGTGGGCACAAAACCTGAGCGGGAGAGGATTGAAGCAGAATTTTAATCTTTAGGTTTACAATCTAAACAAGATTTAAAGAACCTGGGTGTTTATTAAATATTATTTACACCAAAAAATTACCACAAAACAACTTAAAGTGTCTATAAAAATCGAATACATATGCTTCACCTTTCTATTTCCATATGGACAACTGGCATGATCAGAACTGTTTAAATCAGTAACAAGGTTGATAGTTTTACTGTTCACTCAGACATTATTTGTTTGGAGAGGCTTGGAAAGGCTGCTTTTTACATATGTTTGATTATTGATTGCCTCTACAAATATCCAGAATTTCAAAACTGAAAATTGAAATATAAGATAAAGTGGTGAAAAAAATAAGCTTTTACTCCCACTTACTCATATATTTTATTCTTGCAGAGCACACTTCCTGAAAGGATGATTGTGGATGATTATGTAATTACTTTTTACTAATTTAGGGATTAACATGGATTTGAGTGTTTAGATAGCTTTTGCTGTTTCAGAGTTTACAAACAAGGTATTAAATTATACAACTAATCTACTGAATTCAGACAGAGCATCTTACAACATAAGAGCAACTCACAAAATTACATATATCTTAAAGGGTTAGTTCACCCCAAAAATGAAAACTCTGGTCCTCATGTCATTTTAATCCATGGAGACCTGAGCCAATAGCTTTTGTTCCACTAATTTTACACTAAAGAGAAATATTTTCAACAAATAAAGGATTATTTACACTAAATAAATACCACAAAACCACTTAGTATCTATTAGAAAGGAATACATATGCTTCACCTTTCTTTCCATATGGACAACTTGATGGCATGGTCAGAACTGTTTAAATCAGTAACAAGGTTGATAGTTTTACTATTCACTCAGATATTATTTGCTTGTCCCTCCAGGTCATTACAATTACACAGTTGCCATTAGAAGGCTGCTTTTTACATATGTTTGATTATTGATCACCTATACAAATATCCAGAATTTCAAAACTAAGAAGTTTAAATGGGGAAAAATTGAGCTTTTACCCCCACTTACTCATATATTTTATTCCTGAATGGATGATTGTGGATCATTATGTAATTACTTTTTACTAATTTAGGGATTAATTTGGATTTGAGTATTTTGAGATAGCTTTTGCTGTTGCAGAGTTTACAAATAAGTTATTAAATAATGCAACTAATCTACTGAATCCAGGCAGAGCAACTTACAACATGTATATCTGCTAATATATAAATATATAATGGTAATACAGTAATTGAGATTTATACAAGCTCATAATTATGCAAATCTTTACATCTTTACATATATCTTAAAGGGTTAGTTCACCCAAAAATCTAAATAATTGTTGTTATTTATTCACCCTCATTTTGTTCCAATCTCCCTGAGATTTTTAATCATGTTCATAACACAATTTAAGATATTTTAGATGAAATCCAAAAGCTCTCTCATTCTCCATAGACAGCAATGGTCACCATGTGTTTCATGCCCAGAAAGGAAACAAAAACATTGTCAATATATTCAATGTCACTTCAGTAGTTCAACTGTCATCATATTAAGTGTTTATTTTTATTTTTATGAAGCTTCACATTAGGGCTAGGTAATATGGCAAACAAGCAATTTCAGTACTTATTTTCCAAATTGTACGTTAACGATATATATTTTGATATAAGTTGTTAATGATTCCAGATTTAAAAGAGGACCCAAATTAAATGGCATAACATATTTTTCAGCCGATATATTTTTGGTGGCCGAAAATTTGGTACATCTCTAATATCAACACATTTTTAGATTCCATTGTTGCATATTTTTGCAGTGTGATTGGCTCGTAGATCAATATAGAGTAAAAAAGGCCAGAGCTTATCATTGTTATTGACATAAATTTCATTGCAATTCGATAAAATATCATTTACCGGCAAACCCTTTATTTCACACGATTAAAGTTGAACCTGAAATTCTTGACGTTCCTGTTTTGGACTTTGAAAATTATGTGAACATTACTGACTATGGACGATGAGAGAGCTCTCTGACTTCATCTAAAATATCTTAATTTGTGGTATGAAGATAACCTAATGCCTCAGAGGGATTGGAACGACATTCGGGTGAACAATTAATAACAATTTAAAATGTTTGTTTGAACTAACCCTTTTAGAAAAGATTCATATAGTAAGTAAAACAAATGATAATAATAATTCTTACCGCATCTTTTTCCGGGTTGCACACCTTCACCCACATGATGTGGTCCAACAGCCAATCAATGGGCTTGTCTTTGTAAAACATTAGCATGAACTCCACGATCAGCGGCAGGTCTAATGACTTGAACATTTTACCTAAAAAGAGGAAAAGAGATTCATGAAAATCACCCACACAAGACTAATAACATCAGCAGAAACACATTTACCCTGAGGGAGGTTTTCCGGGCAAACTGGACCAGAGCGAAGTGAAAAATCTAAACTCATATAGATTTAGACTTTTTAACAAGGATTTAGACTGGAAACCCAAGGGTGAAAAATATTTTATGAATTCAAAGAGAAACAGCGCACTGAGATTAATTACATTTTCATATTAACGATTCAAGGCTTTTTTTATTAAGTGGAGCAGCAAATAACTACATGTTCTTCATGAATGCAACATTTTTTCTTAAAACATGAGATTAATTCAATTCATCAAGTGAAATCAGATCGGATTGGGCAGGAAGGATGTTACTCTTCTCCATTGCAGCCTTTTTTTATTGGCTTCTAATTAAGTTTTTAGGTCACAGAGGATCTGATGTGGCCATTTCTGCTTGCCGAGGGCAAAACTCCAGCCAGTAAATCAACTCATTTTTGATCATCTGTAAAAGAAGTGACATCTGTTTTTATGCATTATGAATTAAAGAGTGACATCAACCACAGGACGGCATCTCACACAGAGAAATCCTGGCTCTCTAGTGTCAAAACACAACAGCTGCTGATCTATTCATCCAACAGATTAGGTTTCATGGACATGTTTGTTTGGAACATCATACTGCTGTCTTTACTATGCATATTGTGTCTGAACAATTCTGATGGGTATTGTATCCCACAATGCACTGTACATGATATGACCGGACAAAAGTTAAAGATGCCATGAAATGAAAATCTGGATTACCTAAGCATAGCTGAATAATGAGAGTTCAGTACATGGAAATGACAAACAGCAAGCCACAAACTCCACATTTTCTTCATTCTCAATGTAAGTGCGCAGTAAAAACAGGACAATCAGAACAAAACAAAATACAGACTCTAATAATAGTTGCCCTGATACAGTTATAAAAATTTCAATCCCACTTTAGATTAAAGGTGCAGTATATAAGTTTGACACTCAAAGGTTGAACTAGGTATTGCACTCCTGGATCAAAACACATTTTTACTCGGCTCCTCCTCTGATGCAAGTTGCCATTGACGTGAATGTGTCTGACTATCGACCATAAATGCTGATTTAAAGCTGATTTAAACCATATGGAATATTGTTCATAGTAAGACTTTTTGTCCTAAGCAACATCTGAAATTTCTATTTTAGAAACGGCTTCTATTTCAGGGAAACAACAAGATAAACAATAATCACCTCAGGTACACCTCGTGTGCTTTATTTAGTGTGAAATGCTAACAATGTGAGTTTGAATGCCATCTTACATGACATTTGTTGTCATACTACTGACTGAAAGCAGACCTCAGATCTTAAAACATAAAAATAAACCGTTTTAAATTGAACTTTAGAGCTGTGATTCAATGCAAGCCAACACATATCTGTGACTGAGCATCTACATTAAATATTGTTAAAGGTTGAAAAAAGGTTTAATATTATTCATATTATGTAATATTAGTAAAAAGATTTAATATGCTTTAATCAGATTATAAACCTTCAAATTTTGTTGAAGTGTAGTGAGTGCACTATTCTGTGCTTCTGGATGGCTGTTTTTAAATTTCTGTTTGGTTTCGTCTGGTGCAAATCTCATCACGTAGCGTGATGTTAGGAGACGGGGTTACAATGTAACCTGCTCATCTAATGTTTACCTTCTAAAAATGTTTGTATTATATTATTTTCTAATTAATAACCACCTCATGTGGAACTCTGAATCTGCATCTCATTTCAGAGTTTGCTACTGTCCACCGGAGGTTGCATTTCGGTCACGAATACAGACTTTGAGAGCCTTCCTGACTCAACTGACTTTAGCATTGTTTTTCAGATGATGTTCACTTAGCATGTTTCTAAAATATCTGCAAACATATTTCAGTATTTTTATGCTTTAGAATAGTCAAAAACGTATATACAGCACCTTTAAGTGTCCTTAACTACAATGTACTTACATCAAAATATAAATGCAATGTATTTAACGTGTTCATAATGTATTGCAGAACAAGTCTGGTTCTATTTAGGTGGGATACGGGTAGGGATAGAAAAAGTTTTGTTGGTATGAACAAGTTTATCTGTAAATATAAGTTTAAGTGTCAATAAAAATGTAATTACAAATGTAATTACATTCAGGCATTCAATCAAGCATAAGTATAATGTAAAAACATGAGTTTACTTGCATATGTACACTGTAGCGAATAGCTAATCTCAGTATAAGTACACAGTATTTAAGGCTACTTAATATAAAGTGGGACCAAAATGCCTTAACTAGAAAACACTCAGGGTAATATGAACCCACAGAACTGGCACGAATGGCACCAAATTGCATGATATTTATATTATTTTTAACATTTAATACCCATGTAATATAAGTAACACATTGGCTGATGCATCATGCACTGTACAAAACATCCATATTTCCATATTTTTTATTTATGGTTGTGAATTGCTTTATGGGACCTTGATCTCTGCTCTGTCCACATTTGATGTTGAAAATTCAGTTGAACAAATTTACCTTTATTTTAAATAATATAAGAAATAATATATAGAGAAATAAAAATGTGCTGGCAGATTATTACAAGGTATTTGTAGCATAATAAACAACACCAACCCAGACAATATATCACTTTAAACTATTAGAAACGTTCAAAAAAGTACATTTTTTAAACTTTGTAAGGTTAAAAAAGATCAAGGTAATGTGATTAAAAAGCATACATAAACAACATTAATTACAAAAAATGGCAAAAAATTTTGAATCTTTTGTTGCTGTTGTTGGTTTGGCAAAAATCAGTAAAAACACAGCTGAAGAAAGACTTTAAATGTGAATTTTCATCTCACATTTATAGTTTGCTCTATTTAACTGCTTTATTAGCCCCTTTGAGTGATTTATTTTTTTGATAGTCTACAGAACAAACCATCGTTATACAATAACTTTGCCTGATTACCCTAACCTGCCTAGTTAACCTAATTAAAAGCCTTATAAGTCACTTTAAGCTGTATAGAATTGTCTTGAAAATATTTAATCAAATATAATTTACTGTCATCATGGTAAAGATAAAATAAATCAGTTATTAGAAATGAATTATAAAAATTATTTTGTTTAGAAATGTGTTGAAAAAAAAATCTTGACTGTTAAACAGAAAATGGAGAAAAAAAAATAACACGGGGGTTAATAATTCAGGGGGCTAAAAATTCTGACTTCAACTGTATAGAAAAAAAATTCCCTAACAAAATGAAAATGAAAATTATAATGCCTAAAAATATAAAAATATTAAAAATAAATAAAATAAACCGAACTTTCAAAACAACTATTAAAATGAGAAAATCGAACACTAAAACAATAAATCAAAATGCATTCTCAAATGAGAAATCAAATGAATTTGATATCTAATTTTCATGAACTCAATAAAATCTTGTAATAATTAAATGACAAATCAAATGCTCAAACTATAATTCAAAGTAAGGAATTTGTTTTGTTTACTATGATTGTTGTTTTGCCTCCTGTCCCGTTTCTAATTCTGTCTAATAAATGTTTTGTTAACATTTCGTTTTAGTTTTTTTCTTCAATTGAACTATGTTTGTTTGTTCTGATAACGTATAATTTCTTAGTACCAATTTCAAAAACTGTTTTTTGTTCACTAAACTTCAGACATTTATGTCAGTACAATTTGTGTTTTTAAAAGTAGAGTACACACACAAAAAGTGAAAGAAAATAAGGATTATGTTTTTTTTTCTTCTTCAGTTGCACAGCCTAAAAAGTTTTGTTACAAAGTTGTTTACCTCTCCAGGAAACTAATAATCTTATGCTAACCCAACTAAATGTTGTTTTGTATTACTGACAAATAATTTTAGGTCAGTGCAGCTGATGTTTTCAAAGTTGAGAAAACAAGAAAATAAGGATTATGTTTTTTTTTTTTTTTGTACTGGCTTAAAAAATTTGGGGCAGTACCTTGTCACAGGTATAGGTTTTTACCAAAAGAATACACATCAGTACCTTCAAGGTACATATTAATAGCTAAAATCTTCAAATATGTTTGTATTTTTGTGTACCAAAATGTTTCTTAAAGGTACCAGTTGGTGCTCCTTAGATACCTCAGATGGATCTTGGACCAGTTACAATGCTCATTAATAAGTTCTATATGTCCTATATTAATAAGCCCTATAAGTCCATTTAAAATAGTAATATACAGTTAATTTCAATAGATTTAATAGCAGCTCTAGTGCAGCATAGTGAGCAGTTTGACAATCTGAAGACTAGTTTAGTATCATCAGCAGGATCACTCACCAGTGCATAACCCACCCACAGGCTTACATTGACCATTAGTGCTGGAGTATTGATCTGACACATACACACACACACACACTAAATGAAAACACAAAGTCAAACCGAATGCAGCCCAGGCACAATTATTTAAGATCAATAATTAATTATAATAAATAATTCAAAATAAATAAATGTATAAAATGGCAATAAACTCTTGATTGATTTTTTTATGGTGCAGAGAGATTACAAGCCCTGTGAGCGCCTTTGCTTTTAGACATCATGATATCTTCAGCTCTCCACTTCTGAAAAACTTTGGCAGTTATTCAAGGTTGTGTGTGTAATAAATGTTCTCAGTCTCGAGAGCATGCGCTAGTTCACCTTCACGTCGTCCCTGAGAAGTGTGACAGCTGCTTACACAAACACACACACACACAGACATGGTAAATCTACAGGGAAACAGTCTTATCTGAAATAGTCAAATCAGTATTCACCTCCACATGGAAGCAGCCCTCAGCCTGTTTGTCTTTCTTTCTCTCTGAAATAAATGAGTACATTTAACAGATGTGAGGGATCTTTAACTCTATTACTCTCTGACTTAATGAACGCTTTCTTTTCTTGTGACGGTATGGCAGTTTTGCCTGCAGTTCTTCTTTGATCATGCAAAACCAAAACTGACCATACAGTATTTTATTT